TGCACAAAATTGAAATCCCCCCCAATTAAAAGGTGGTATGTTTCAATATTAGGAATAGAAGTAAAAAGCCTGGAGATAAATCGTTCGTCATCCCAGTTTGGTGCGTAGATGCTAGCCAAAACCACCTGAGTATTACACAACCTCCCTGAAACAATGACAAACCGACCACTTGAGTCAGCTATAATGTTTTCTGGCTCAAATGAAATATTATTATGGATCAAGATAGCAGCACCCCTGGCTCTCGCACCAAACTTTGAGTGATATAACTGACTGAATCTGCCCCTTTTAATGCGCTGAATCTCCCCACTATGTAAATGTGTCTCCTGCAGAAACACTATGTCTCCCTTCAGATCCTGAAGATGTGACATAATCTTATTTACTTTAGTATTCTGATTTGCCCCCTTAACATTCCAGAATATTGTTCACTGACATGTTCTTATTTTCCATGCACAAAGTAATGAATCATCTCATGATTGTAGAACACAATATCTGAGTATTGACCCCATAGAAAGAAGAAAAAAAAATAATCAAAACACACACAAAAAAAAAGGGGGGGAGACAACAAAGATGGAATGAGGCCCCACCCACACGCGTGCGCACACACGCCTGTCCCCATCCCCAACACGCACCCTCGAAAACCCACATGCAACACAGCCTCTGATGTACCTTTGCACAAAAGTGCCATGCTGCTGCTTTACACTCATCAAAATTCTCCCGGGGCAGAGTCTTTCTTTTCGCTATATCCCCGCCCCGCCACACAGTAACATTAGAAAAATAGACTCAACTTTATACAGGAGTACCACTGAACGGTGGTGTCTGCTGTTCTGCGCCAACAGGTCGCACACTGGTAATGTAAAAACAGTATAGGCCAACATAAGAACATGTAGGTCTATCTCACAAGAAAACAAAACAGAACATTATGTTATATTCCTAATCCTATACACATTGAACCTGTCAAAAGCCCTCTTCATAGCCTAGGCTAACGGTTAACAACATTGCACCCCTGTCTGACCCACATGGGCACGTTAGCCTACTACTTAAGATAAACGGGTTAAATGAGAAGCAAGCAATAACATTCACTAACAGTATATTGACAAACGCCAGACAAATGCCTTATATAGGTATAGCTGTTAGAATAACTGTTGATATTCAGTCAGATCAACGGGAAAGTAGCATGTTCAGTTATCTGCTACCATTAACCTACAGCCAGTTTTGTCCATGTCAAATAGCAAAACGTTAGATTAGCCTAGATAATGCTAACTTAGATATCGTAACCTGGACAATGATGTTCACTTGGGTCAATCCTCTTCCATCGGAGAGCTGTGCTTCTGATATGTTGTCAAGAACTGCTGGGCTTCTTGCACAGATGAGAAACGCCGTCTATTTCCGTCATCTGCCACGATGAACAGCCGCGCTGGGTAGAGTAGTGAAGGCTTAAGTTTGCGCGTGTACAATTGGTGCATGACCTCTTTGTACTCCGCACGTTGCTCCATCACTTCAGGACAGTAATCAAAGTATATGTAGATCGACTTGTCTCTATATTTTAGTTCTCCTTGCTTCTTGCGGGCCCGTATGACCAAGTCCTTAGTCTGGAATTTATGGAAACAGACAATCACGGCTCTAGGTTTTGCCCCTCAGCTGGTTTGGGTTTGAGTGCTCGGTGAGCTCTGTCAAGCTCTGGAGGGGCTGAAAGCACGTCTTCTCCCAGCACATCCACCAGAAAAGTAGAGAAGAACGACATGGGTCGTGTGCCCTCGATTGCTTCAGGCACTCCAATAAGACGCACATTGCACCGTCTACTTCTCCCCTCTATATCGTTGATCTTAGCTTTCAGCTTGGCGTTATCTTCAGCCATTGTGATTACCGTTGCCTCTAAAGACTGGAGCTGGTTCAGCCCAGACTCCAGATCGGAGATACGTTGTTCATGGTTGATCACCGTCATCTGCAATCCGTCTAGCTTGGAGTCTATGGCAGCAAGCTTGTTTTCAAATCTGACGGCTAGTGAGTCAGGTTTGGTCAACAGGTCCGCCCGCAGCTCAGCTAGCATGTTAGCTAGAGTAGCATTATTGATGTCGGCACTGCCGGCTAAAGTTGTCTGCTGCTCAGGCTTTTTCGAAGATTTGCCAGGTCTAGATGACATACTGGTTGGCAGAACTTGTTCAAGCAGCGTGAGGTGCCTTATTTCCGCAAAGTTGAGTTAAATGAGATGACTAAATAGTCAAAATATAAAATATGTGGCGGGAGCCTGGAAAACACCACTACTCCATTTCGCACACCAACCGGAAGTCTAGTTGAGCAGATTTGATGATGGTCTGTCCACCATCCGTCTGTACTGGTCATTGCCCTTGTTAGATGTACATCCAGCCTTTCTCTGACTTGGACAATGACTGGGTGATTAGCCACTGTAAGGAGGAATATTACAAAATTAACTAGGTTGATCTATAGCAGCAAATATACACTACAAAATAATTTAAATATACGTACATATATTTAGTATGAGTCTCCATCATCTCAGAGTTTACACTAAACCTGCTGTGGAATTCCGTTGCAGTGTTTTGGAGTGGCATTCGTCTTTAGAATGCTAGAGAGGGTAACATGAAGGGGCGTAACAGCGTGAGACTGTGGCACTGAAGGTGATGTGTTATGTTCAAGCACAATAAGTTAGTGTTAGTTAGGTAGTTTCATGAATAACCTTTAGAAATAGTGTAAAGCAAGAAAAGTATTTTTATAAGTAATTTTCCCCTTTAAAAAACACTGAATAGATTTTCCACGTAGGCCTTGTTTCCGACCAAATTGAAAAGATGCACTGCAGAATGATTTCCTGGGTGTATATGTGTAAATAAAGAGCTGTATATATTGTTTTATTTTATTTTATTCTACTATAAATTCTATTATCTTATGTGTTTAGATGAAGAGATGGCAAAATTTAATTTCATTAAAAACAATCTTGTGTTGCATAATGATGAAGCCATTTCCTTGATTACTTGATATATTCTGGTGTACACTGTTGACAGCTGACAGTACCATGTCACTCTACATTTACTATTCTTTGCAGACTTTTTTGCTACTAATCATCCCACAATGTCACTTTGCTTGAGATGGTGTTGCACCACGTTGTAAGTGTTTTCCTTCTACTTATACTTTCTTTTAACTTGTCTCCTCTAGTTATATTTCTACTGGTTAAGATGATAACACAAAACACCAGTTTTGCCATGTGGCCATTTAAGTTTCATCTCTTTCTCATCTTAGCAAGGTGTGAAAGTACAAATGTCACACATTTTTACAGTAAGTATAACACAATGGCTTAAATGCAGATGGTTAAATATAATATCTGTGAGAATCACAGAGACAATAAAGACTCCACCTCCATATCAACACTATAACATGGGTCAGATATTGTAAGTTACTGAACAGAAGCTGCTGTCAACAGTCACGGCAAGACTCCTTAGTTATCTTAGGGTTATTTATCTGAAACTAATTGTTTGAGTTGAGTAATCTTTTTTGGCATACAAGTTATTTTGACATTTTACATTCAAAGTATGCATAGTTTAACTGATTGTGTGTCTATGCCATGTCTCATTCTCTTGTTGTTCAACCCTTTCATACAGATGGCAAGGCTGTGGCAGCTCATGCTCC